AGAGCCTGCCTCAGAGCAACACCGTGCTGCTGCCATTTCATCCACTGACACAGATATCTTCACTGTGTCTCACATTCAGTGTTTCTAAGATGGTGTAGCTAGCACATATATCTTACCTCTTGACAAATATGTAGTGTCTTGGTTGGGGTTTCTGTTGATGTGTTGAAACACCATGACCAAAAGCAATTTGGAGAGAAAATGGTTTATTTTGCTTACCCTTCCATATTACAGTTTATAAGCAAATGCAGTCAGGGCAGGAGCTCAAATAAGGAAGCAACGTGGATGCAGGGGCTGGTGCAGAGGCCATGGAGGATGCTGCTTACTGGCTTGTTCCTCATGGCTTGCTCAGCCTACTTTCTTTCTTTCTTTTTTTTTTTTTTGAAGGTATATTCTTTTTTTATTTTATATAACAAAGTCCAATTAAATGAAAACAAACATTTATACACAATATTTGGTAATTTGGGCGTCGTTATTTCCAAACTACTTCCTGCTGGTAAGGGGCGCTGTCATGGGGGAATCAAAGAAGATTCAGAAATCCTGGCTGTAGTCTGTAGGGCTGCTTTGTCCAGCTGTTTTGAATGTAGGATCACCCTGTACTCTGTTTCAGGCGGTCTGGCGTGATCAAACCACATTAGTCTGGAAGGAATCCACATCTTTTCATTTTCTGTGGAAACAAAAATAGAAATCCTTTTCCCCAGTAACTTGTCCTTCAACTTAAATTTTAGAGTCAAAGCATTTTTTAAATTTAATTTATTATTTTACATGTTGATCCCAGTTCCCTCTCCCTCCATCCCTCCCTCCCTCCCTTTTACCCTCTCTGCCCTCTCACATGCACTCTAACCACCCTCCCCTCCCATTCTCCCCACCCCAATTCCATATGTAGGGGAATGCCATCCAGTTGGGGTCATGTAGATCTGACAGGTCATGTGAACTAGGGACTAGGGCTTCTCTCCTGTCTCTAGATTAAGGCAGTTATCCCTCCATGGGGGATGTGTTCACAAAGTCCTTTTGTGCACCAGGGATACATCCTGGCTCCACTGTCTGAGGTCTCTTAGACTGCTCAGTCCTTCTGGCTGAGACCCATATTCAGGGGAGCCTGAGTCAGTCCCATTCTGGTTTCCCAGCTATCAGTCTAGTGGCCCTTAGCTCCTTCTTGTTCAGGTAAGCTGTCTGTATGTGTTTCTGCCGCATGGTCTTGTCCTCTCCATCTGCATCTGGGTTCTAGTTCGACTCAGTGTTTATGTATGGGTGTTTGATCCTGTTTTCAACAGGCATTAGTTGAGTTCTCCATGGAGAAGTTAGTTGTTGATCTCACTATCCGGGAAGGGCATTTATGGTAGCCTTTCCACAGAAGCTCAAATTGTTAGTTGGGAGCAGTCTTGTAGTTCTCTAAACCTTTCTTTGTGTTCAATTTTATCTTCAAACCAATATGCTCAGCCTACTTTCTTACAGAACCCAGGACCATAGTTCAGGGTTATCCCCATACATAATGTTTGGGCCCTCCCCCATCAATCACTAGTTAAAAAAATGCTCTACAGAGACTTGCTTGCAGCCCAATCTCATGGAGGCATTTTCTCAAATGAAGTGCCCTCCTCTAGGATGACTGTAGCTTATATCAAGTGACACAAAACTATCTATCACATATAGTATATATGTAATGGGTATGTATATTCACACACATGCTAACTTTTTTCTTGGCTTTTTTTTTGGTGCATGTATATTTGGCTGTATGTAGGTGTATGAGTATGTTTTCAGGGTGCATGCATTAAATGACAGGTGTGTATACTTGTGGAGGCCACCATTTGTTTAAGTTTAAAAATTTGTTTTTAAGTGTATGAGTGTTTGCCTGCATGTAGTATACCATGAGTGTGCCTTGTGCTGAAGGAAGCCAGAAAAGGACACTAGATACCATGGAAATCAAGTTATAAATGATTGGCAGCCAAAATCAACTTTATTTTTATGGATAAGGCAGATTGAGTATATGGTCCTCAAGAGTCACTCAGTCTCGATTTATCTGGTGACAATGAGTCAAAAGTCAAAAGCCCTGCTGGGAACTACTGAGGATGTTCCCTCTGTATTGACATCCCATTTGCAGCATGTATGCTGATTAGAGTTTACTCAGTGGGGTCTCCAAGGCTCAACAATCAAGAGAACATGTGATGTGTCAGATCTTTACAACATTTTAGGATGTGCCCTATACTCTCCTGGAAGCTAGTTGGCCTTGGAGGTTGAGGGTTTGTCTCTGAACCTGAAACTCACAGATTTGGCTGTGCTGGCTGGCTGGTCACTGAGCTTCGGGGGATCTGCCTCCTTCTCCTTCCAGTGTGCTGGGGTTGCAGGTGCATGCCATGGGAGAAATACATAACTGCTTCCACATTTGACCCACTTTGATTTGTGACTTTCTTGTATTCTGTGATTGTAAAAGTTCATCTAACTATTTCCATGGAAGAACATGTCATCTGGGACAGTCTGAATCTGTGTTGCCAGGTAGCACTCATTCATATTTGGCTCAGTGTAAACATGAAGCAAAAACCGAGGAGCAGAGTCCTCTTGCCTGTGACAATGGATAAGATTTTGTTTTGAAGTGAGACAATATTCTATAATTGGCAAGAGATGGTGGTTGCACACATTGTAAATATGCTGAAACCTCTTGAATTACACACTTTAAATGGATTAATCCCACAATAAGCAAGCAACATCTCCCCAAAGTGACAAGAATAGCTGGGGAGGAGGTAAAGGTCCTCCTGTGCAAATCCCTGGGGCTTACTGGCAAGCCAGCCCAATCTGCTTAGCAAGCCCCAGGTCCCATTGACAGTACCTGTCTCAAAAGTAAGGTGAGGTTATCCAGATGGTTCATGGATAAGAACACTTGCCATCAAACCTGATGACCTGAGTTTAATCCCCAGCATCTACATGGTGGAAGGAGAGAACTGACTCCTGTGAGTTACCCTCCGACTTCCATGTGCACATGTAAGCACACATACATACAAATGAATAAATAAATAAAAAAATGAAACCAGCAATGATACACACACACACACACACACACACACACACACACACACACACACACGATAAGAAATAAATAAATAAACAAACATGAGGCCCTGAGGTGACCTCCTGGTGTCTAATTGGAAGGAAAGCTTCGTGGGACTTGCATGTGACATAAGGCTCAGGAGGTGCTCGTGGATGCAGCCCCAGAGAAGACTTGGGGTTCTGTTCCCACCTTTCTTGAGTTTCCTGGAAGGTCACTTTAGACCATTCACTTACTTCAAAAACAAATATGGCTGGAAGACCCAGAGAGATGGCAACAGCATGTTTATGTGACATCCAGGCCCAGAGAGATGGCATCAGGATGTCCACACAGCACCCAGAAACATCCCTGCTGTAAGAAGGCACAGCAGGATGGCTGGTGCGGCTGACCAGGTGGCCTTTAGAGGCACTGACAGCAGCTTTTGAGCTGACCTCTTAGGCAATAGAGTATGTGGCTCTAACAGCAGCTCTGCATCGCATGGAAAACAAGCCACCCTTAAAGTCACAGAATACAAGAAAGCCACAAATCATGAGGTTTTTTCTGGACGTGCTGTTGAGGGCATCAGGAAGGCAGGTTATATCAAACCAGAGAAATCTCTGTTATGGTCTCAGATGCTTTTTAGGTTGGTGGGAGCTAGTGGTCCATTAAGTCATTATATTCCTCAGTTTTACCTGGTATTTGAAAATAAAAGTTAGGCCAGACAAGGAATGGGTATTCAACAGACTATACAGTGTAGTAAGACAATTTGGCTCTGGAACAGCAACATTCCAACTCTCCTTCATTATTTCATGGTCAATCATTCAGTCTTGTAGACTTTAACATAGATAAGGCTTTTGTTCTGGGGACTTCAGTTCTAGGTGAGAATATCACTTTTTTATAACATAGAGTAATGTTTCATTGTCTGGTCCACAATAAGCTACCTGCTTGTCCGTGGACATTTGGATTGTTTCTGTCTTTTGGCTGTTTAAGAGAAATGCTAATAAGACTGCCTGGATGTCTCGGTATACAAACACTGGCATTTCTTTTGACAAAAGACCGGAATTTTTGGGAAGTTCTATGTTTAATTGTTTGAGGCTGTGTTGGGGGACATTCTTACATGTTATGTAAGATGCCTTCATTGACACTCACTGATCTGACTTTTGGATTCTGGATGGATACAGGACTTGTGAAGGGTTCCCTATCCTCATAGTTTTAAAGTGAAATGGGTATTTTTGAATACTTTTTTCTCCATTACCTGTGAAAGCATGCCTTTCATTTGGCGAGGTGGCTTAATTAGAAAAGGCACTTACCAGGCAAGCCTCATGCCTTGAGTTCAATCTCTGGAGCTCCCAGTGGAAGAGAGAACCATCTCTCAGGGGTAAAGAGAACCATCTCCCAGGGGAAGAGAGGACCATCTCCCAGGGGAAGAGAGGACCATCTCCCAGTTGTTCTCTGGCTTCCTCATGTCCACTGTGGCACATATGTGCTTAAACACACAAGCACACACACATACATAAAATTCTACTTTTTAATTAAAAATGTGACTTGTGAAGAGGTCCTCTTGACTGTGATAGTGATAAAGGTGATCTCATAGTTGTTGGATACTTTTCAGTTGCCATGATAAAACACCACAGTAAGGCATCTTATAGAAGAAAGAGTTTATTTGGGCTTATGATTCCAGAGGGTTAGAGTCAGTGATGGTGGGGACAGCATGGAAGTAGGTGGCAGGCATGACCCACATCTTGGATCACAAGCAGGGAGGAGAATGAATTAGAAACACATGGCTTTTCGCTCTCAAATCTGCCCTCAGTGACGCACTTCCTCCAACGGGGCTGCAGCCATTAACTTTGCTCAAACAGGGTCAACTAGGGACCAAGCGCAAATGTCCAAGACTGTGGAGGTCAAGAAGGGACTGGTGGAGCAGCAGGACAGTCTCAGGAGACTGCTGTCTTTCACTGGTGTGCTGACGGGTCCCTTTGCCTTCCAGGAGGACTGGCCCTGGCCCACGTACTCTTCTTCTATGTGAAATACTTGGTGCTCTTTGGTGCTCCAGCTCTCCTCATGCGCCTGGATGGACTCACACCACCACCCCTCCCCCGCTGTGTGAGCACCATGTTCAGCTTTACAGGGATGTGGAGGTCAGTCTCATGGTTTGTTTGAGTCTTTTGGGTGTGTCCAGTGGGTTTGCTAGCATTAGAGTTTGGCTACTGTTCTTCCCCTAAACTAAAGCCACATTTGGTACTACACATTCTTTATCCTGCTAATGTGATGGCAGTCCCCTCACAGAGTTATCATTCAGCTACAGAGGTAAGTGAGGCAGGACACACACAAGACTTGTCTCATGGCTGTGATAAAATACTCTGACCGAAGCATTTTAAGGGAAAAGTCTTCATTTTGGACCCAAGATTTAAGTGTAAAGACCAACATGGAAGTCCTAGGCTTGGGGCTTGGGGCTTGAGGCTTGGAAGACAGCTGGTCAAGCTGACAATAGATGTCATCACAGATATGTTATATAGCTTTCCTTGAGAAGTGACCATGTAAGACACTCTGTTGACTAAAAATGGGCTGAGTGTAACAGCCTGGGCCAGCACTGCACACATCTACCTCCAAAAATTCTTCTGAGATAAGGCAAGCCACAGCTTGGATATTTCCCAATGTTAGCCCTCAACTTTGTATTGTTTCTGTGCAAGGTTTCATATGATAGACTGATATTTTCTTTGAGTTCTTTTTACTGTTACTGATTTTTTTTGTCCCCCAAACTTGTGATTGGCCTGGAATTTTTGTTCCTAAAGATCCCAAAGTCCCTTGTCACTTTTGACAGCTGTCTCCCAGAGGGACTTGCTTGCATCTGTGTTTTTCTGAGCATGTCTAGTATATAGCAAAGGTCAGGATTGCTGTGGTAATCACAGACCCAGTGGAAAACTGGCTCAGCAGAGGGAGTCAGTGCCAATTTAGAACCTGGGTTTCGGTTCTATTGCTTGCCTCAGAGTTACTGTTCTGCCTCATTCATCTCTGTAGACCCAAGACCCAAGACAGAGCTAACAGGAGAACTCAGTGAATGTTACCGTGCCCAGTGTTGCTCTCCACAGTTGTGTGGGCTTCTTTAAGAACATTTTAGTCATGTTCTGGCTTGCTCTACTGGGTTGGACGTTTCATTTAGTTATAGTAGGACTATTGAGTTTCCTTTGTAATTTCAACAAGCTCCAGGTTGGCCTTTTTAATGGCAAGACCGGAGAATGTTGGCAGAGGGAGGCTTTGCAAGGATGGATAGTTTCTGTGGAGATGAACATCACTGGAAACCACTGTCCTATGATCCACTCAGAAGAGTTGCTTCCTCAATCAGTGGAGGGGACCAGGGATGATTTGGGAATATGTCACAAGCATCTGGTGGGAGCCCTGCTTGGTTTCTCTCCCTCTCTGTTGTGGCCATCTGCACTAATGTGCTTGGAAAGGACGTTTTCATGGGGGCTTCTGTAGGGTCAGCTGGAGTGGTCACCATGGTAACCAGGGCAGTTTCCTTGTCCATAGTTAGTAACTCACCAATTGCCACAAGGTGGCTGTGTTTCATATAGTGAAACAGATGGCTGTCTGTATTTGTTTTATTTAATCAAAAAATTTAGTGTCTTTTTTAAACATTTTAAAGTGTGTGTATGTTTGTGTGCGTGCACGCATGTGCGTGCATGTGCACACACACTTGTGTGTGTATGAGTGTGTGTGTGTGTCTGTATCTTATATAATTATGTGTACATGAGTATAGGTGTCCTTGGAGTGTAGATGGAGGTTCCTGTCCCACCTGGTCCCGCAGCTGTTTAGCCCCACACACTGATGTTTATATTAATTATAGGCTGTTTGGCTGATGGCTCAGGCTTCTTATTGACTAGCTCTCTCTTAATTATTAACCTATTTCTATTAATCTGAGTATTTCCATGTGGTCTTATCTTACCAGAGAATGTCTCTCTCCCGATCTCTCTCTTAGTCCTCTTCCCAGAATTCTCCTCATCTCATAGCCCTGCATTTACTTCCTGCCTGGCTACTGGACAATCAGTGTTTTTATTAATCAACCAGTTAACAGAAACAAATATACAGAAGGGCACCCCCATCATTGGAGATCAGAAGACACCTGGCATTGGATACAGCGGGGCTGGAGTTACAGGTAGTTTGACCTACCTGGTGTGAGCACTGGGAAGTGAATTTGTGTCCTCTAGAAGAACAGTATACACTCAACTTAAGAGCCATCTCTCCAGCCCCCTCATTTAACTTATTTTTTACCCAAGACAGATCCCCAACTTATGTAAACTACAGAGACAGATAAAACATACCTGCCATTGTTGTGGTCAGGAACAAATGGTTACCCTATGGAGGCTCCAAAGTGTGAGTCCTTGGAACACTCTACAAGAGCATTTGATGAAAAAAATGAGTAGATTCTCCTCTAGGAGAGACACAGGCTTCCATTCTAGCTTCTGCAGCATGCAAGTTTTCTTGCTTTTCTGGATTTATTGACTAAAGCACATTTCTCTCTCTTTCTCTCTCTCCCTCTGTCTCTGTTTGTGTGTGTGTGTGCCTTTGTGAGCTTGTGTGTCCCGTGTGTATGCAGGTGATACGCATTAGATCCACCAGAACAAAGTCACTGGTGTTTGCACATGGTCAGATGTGGATTCCTCTGCAAGAGCAGTGAGGGTCTTGCCAGCAGAGCCATCTGCCCAGTCCTGTTTTGGTTTTGTTGTTTTGTTTTTGAGACAAGGTGCTGCTGTGCAGCCTAGACTTGTTTTGAAGTCAGAAATCCAGCCTCCCAGGTGCTAGGGTTACTAACATGCACCTCTGCACCCAGCTCCTCCATATTTTTAAGTCTCTTTCCAGTTTGTTAGCTGTACTTGAAGCACTCTTGTCTTTGTACGTGGTGGCCTTTCCACGTTCAACAAGCTGAATTTCATAATCCAGGAGGGACTCAGCCCTGGGGCCCAGCAGAATGCTCAGAGGAGGCATTTTGATTGAAAAGAAGAATAAAAAACACTGATTATCTTTGTGTCACTTGCAGACTGTTCCTTCCTCACAGCGAGGTGTTTTTCAGTGTTGTGTGTGTGTGTGTGTGTGTGTAGTATGTGTGTGCCTGTGTAGTGCATGTGAGTGCATAAATGTACATGTGTGTTCATTCCTGTGGAGGCCGGAGGTAAATGTTGGGTGTCTTTCTCAGCTGTCCACCATCTTATCTTCTGAGACAATCTCTCACTGAACCTGGAAGTCACTGATTGGCTAGGATGGCTGGGGATCTGCCTGCCTCTGCCTCCCCTGCACTAGGGTTGCAGACACACATGACCACACCCAGTTTTGCTCTGTGAGTTTCATGTTAGATTTCTGAGTACTTCTGAGGGAAGGCAGATGTGAAGTTGTGATGTCTAGTATCCAACTTTACACTGAAATTGGGGTGCTGCTGCAGAACATGAGTGGCCCCCTCTTCACGAGCCTAAGAAGAATTGAGTGAAGAGCAGAGGGCAAAGCTGGTGGTGGTTCACATGTGCTTTGGGCCATGGCAGAGGGGACAGGTTTGGAACAGTCTCCTGGAGGGTACTGAGTAAATCTCCCAATCTTCTGGGAATACATACGGAGTGAGGTTTAGAAGCAATGATGAGATTGTTATCAGCACAGCACCTACACTACCAACACAAGGCTGGATGACTGTATTGTCTCCCAGTGCACTTTCAATTGCAGGACCCTGATGTCAGCAGCCTGCCGTGTCATTGGAATCTGAGCTTTGTATCACAGAACACATGACTGGCCATTAGCAGAGAGATGATCTTCCTTGACAGGATAATTTAAATTGACCATGAAGAACTACAGCTCCCTCTGATGGCCCACAACTCCAGTTGGGACCTGATGGGTCTGTTCACTCCTTCCCCTGGCCTCCCTTTCCATGGATCTCATTTAAATATTTACAAATGTAGCAAAGCCCCAAGGAGCAGCTGCAATCCCATGGTGTGAGCTTTCTATGGTTGTACTGGACTCGGAAATTGAAATTTCTATGCTTAATCTCTAGGTGTCATGTTTTAATTTAGATGAGCCAAGATCTCTAATGAGTATCCTTTGCCAAGAGTCATTAACGATGGTGTTGTGTGTCTGAGGTTCCAAATTAGCATTCTGATCATGTCCCCTGGTTTGATTTCTAGCTATGGAGGTGAAGTGTGCAAAGTGATAGGATTCCCACAGTGGCTGGTGAGTTATGGGTCAATTTCAGTTATCTCAAGAATCTGAGGCAGCTTGCCCTCGCACTGCTTGAGTTATGATGCTTTCCGGTCTTTGCAGGCAAATTCATGCATCATCCATTATCCCAGGGGAATCTGGATAGTGGTTGGTGGGGGCTAGATTGTGTGAGCATATCTTTAGTCTGGGAAGAGTAGCTGAAGGAGGAGCCCAAGTACTTCCTCTCAGTGGGGCATCAATTGCCTAGACTGGTAGGTCAATAGAAGAATTTAGCTCTCTAGGTAGGGAGTTGGTTTTGCTGTGCAATAGATGATAAGACCAGCAATGAACTGCTGCTCTTTGAGCTCCTGCCTTTGAATAAAGCTTAACCTTCTGGGTAGAACAGGTGTCAGGCATGGGGTTGGTGAGACAGATGCCATGATCTCACAAAGACTAGACAAACCTAAAGAGGAAAGGTAGAACAGGCTTTGTTCACAAGGGCTCACCCCATCCAGAGGGACCCTGATCCCCAAGAGCTTGCTTTTCAGCAGCTGTGACGCTCTGGGCAAGTTGTTTCATTTTTTAGGCCAATCTTCTACCTCTAAAGTGAGAACTTGTCCCATAGGATAATGTGATGATTGATGGAAATGAGAATGTAGTAGGCCCCTGGGAAGTAATAACTTTTTACCTTTTTTATTGGGGGTTTGTTGTAAGCCTGACAAGTCTGACAAAGCCAATGATGAACATGAGCTCTACCTCCTGCTGGAACAGTTAGCACCGAAGGAATTGGCTAAGCAAAAGCTCCATCCAGCTGCAAACTGGAGAAGCCAGGATTCAGCAGAGTGGGGCAAAGTCATGAGCTCACAGATGTCCCTTGTTCCCCAGCCCAGTCACATGGAAGGGGGATGGTTCTACCATATTCTGCTAATTATGTGACTTGGCAAGTTAGTAGCTTCCTTCCACC